TATCTGATATACAATCCCTGACATCCTTTCAGCCTCCCAGTACAGTAAGTTATTGATATGATCACATCCTGTGTGTTTCCTGACCTCTAAATGTGTGCAGAGATACAAGAGAGTAGGGGTGAGGATGTTGGGGTGTTTTGATTTTGTATTGCTCCAGCATAACTGTGTAAACATTTGTAAAGCCAACCAGCCAAAAAAAAAGAAGAAAAAAAATCAATAGTGAAGAAGAGAAAATTCCAGTAACTGTGAGTGGGTGCACCTTCCTGTGTCAAATGACAGAATACTTTTGGGGTGGTTTAAGTCATTTCGGTTTTGCAATTATGATAATGCGTTCATCGAGTAGGTATGATAAAGCATGGTCACAGCCTTGCCTCCAAGACAATAGACAGAGCAAGCCATGCAAAGACATTGCAACAATCAGCGGGTCTATGAGGAGAGCCTACAAGCTGTTAATCACTAAAAGCATTACTTTGGCTAAATTTCTGCAGCATGTGGTTATGCCCATCTGTTATCTGTTGTCTCAATGCCATTATCAATAAAGATGTATTGTCACTGGAAATAAGATTACTGCCCTTCAAATGGCAATTGAGCCATGAAGTGAAACTGAGTTGCTTGCTTGATTTTTTTCCATTTTACTATGTTAATTATGTTGAGTGATATTTGGACCATCACATTTTCTATGTCATGATTGAGTGTGCGTAAAAGCATCAAACACTTAATAATTAATCTCTTCATGCTAATTATAACTGGCTGGCAACCAGTTCAGGGTGTCCCCCGCCTATTGCCTGAAGACAGCTGGGATAGTCTCCAGCACCCGCTGTGACTCTCATGAGCGGAAGCAGATTAGAAAATGGATGGATGGATTTTTATTTCATTTATTTATTTCATTGGAACAGTGAACATTAATCAACACAAGAATAAACAGTGTAAATGTGCCGGACTTAGCATAAAGGCTAGTTTTCAGCCGTAATCCTAAGGTAGGTTTCTAAAATAGTATAGTGAGACACATAAAACGTAAAAAACACAATAACATAATTAAGAACCAAATAGGTAAGACCTCATAAAACAGACAATACAAACAGTTGCAGTACTCAATTACAAGACAGTAGACCAGGACAGACCAATCACTAACAGCTACAAATTTGCTACATCTTCATTTATATAGTGCTTTCACAACAGCTTCAGCTGTAACATTGTATTATAAGAGCTGCATTTGAAATTCAGCTTCTTCAAAAATATTAGCATTGTATTACTTGATTACAACTCTTATAGGCCTATTGTACTCACTGCCGCATACTGGGTGGTGTCTCAAATAATTTGGTTAATTTATGTGTGGTGCTCTGCTCAGTGCTGAATGAAAACATCGTTTCTAAAGGATGATGAAGAAGGACAATATTACCGGTATGTCTCACAAAGATCACCATTCAGTGAACCTTTACAATCTGTGGCTGGCGGTGTTGCTATCAGGCGTGTCAGTGTACAGTATTTTTTCCAATAATGAGTTTGCTTTTCATTTGTTAAACCACGAACGAGAACTTGTGTTTGACCAATGGAACCAGCAGATGACACCAAAGAACCATACATTAGAGAGGCATGGTACACTCTTGACTCGTCGACTGCAAATCGCTGGGCCCCAACAGACAAACTAAGCGTATTCGCCTCTTGGCATTTCAGGTTGTAAATTTCGGCAACTGCCGTATTTCACTTCACCGCAGAGATTAATTGTTACAGAATTAAAATATTTAGTAGTCATTTTGACACGCAGAAGAGGAGGGAACGGATTACAAAATAAATTGAGCGGAAGTTGGTATGAATTGTAAACCCGAAAACAAAAAAACAAAAACGCTTTTTTTCACACGAAATACTTTATAATAATAATATAATAATATTATTGTGTGTGTGTGTGTGTGTGTGTGTGTGTGTGTGTGTGTGTGTGTGTGTGTATAGAGTAACACACTTTAAAACAGAACACATTTTAATGAGATTCCGAAAGATGTTTATCATATGCAAAAGACAACAACTAATGTAGTGCAGGGTGTTCCCAGAAACTTCCCACACAGTCCTGTATATTTGCAAGATTTGGGAGTGGACTACATCCTGTCGATCTGCATGATTGAGTGGGAATACTATGCCAAGTCAATAGCCCACTCATAATACAAGCAGGAACAAACCTCAGTAAAAAGTAACATTTGAAATGACAAGATAACAAACTAATTAACACCTAACAGCCATGCACTTTGGAGTTTGTTTTCATTCTGCTCGTATACACAAATTAAACTTGAAAATAGATTTTTTTCCAAGTGCAAATGTAAATCACTAAATGGAGGAACAAGTAAGTAAAAATGTGATTCATCTCTTACACCACAATGCACATTATTACAATATTTCATCATTCGTTATCCTTTTCTGCCAGTTTCTTTTCTTAGTTACTGAATGCAGGGCTCAAAGGAGAAACTCCAGGTAATTACAGGGTCCTCTTACTGAGAGCAGTGACTAATTCAGGTTCACTTTTCATTCGTTTAGTACAGGGGTGTCAAACTCATTTCACATGGTGGGCCACATACGGCCTCGGTAGATGTCAAGTGGGCCGGACCATTAAAATGATACAATACTTTGCTATAAATAACCAAAACAATATGTCTTTCCTTTGTTTTGGTATAAAGAAGCACAAGAACATTAGGAAAATGTTGAAATTTAATGAACATATCTTTTACAAAACATTTCATGAAGCACCTTACATTTCCTTCGACAAATGTGCAATTTACTTTTATCATTCACATATATGCATTGCAACTGATCCCACTGATTGTACAAACTTTAACAAGTAATTGGTATTGAAAAATATAGGAATGCACTTTAAGATTAAACAAGATTCATAAAGTAAGCAAATTTTAAAGCATTTACACGTGCATATAAAATCTAAATGTAATCCCTGCCTACACCTTACAAACTAAGGAGAGTGCTATTAAATGTGTAAATGTGAGAGTGCTATTGATAGCGTCTGCTGTCATGGGTCTGTCTCAGTGACAGACTGAGGCTGCTGTTGTCTTCTTCTCTGATCAAAACAGTGTCCCCTAGCGGATACTCAATGAATTGCACCTTATTAAAAATATTAAAAAAGTATGTCTGTATTACACTGCTATACAAGAGGGTAAGAAAGACGTGTACCGGCACAGTCCACAGTCAGGGTTTCATGAAATAAAATTCACACCTATTCAAAACAATGCATGTCACACTCTTAATCAAGCAGCCACGAATCTAAGTAAAAAGCAATATTTTGCTGATCTGAACTTATTGATTCCATTTTCTTCGCAGCGGCTTCCCTTTTGCGTAGTACTGATAGTCGAGCTCATGCGCTGATTCGCTAGCTAACCGCCAATCAGGGTGATCAATTGTCACAGACGGCAGACGCCATTTTGCATACTTTGATAAATGGCTCATTCATTCAAATCACATCTAAAAAGCACAATGCCACAAAAGTCTTAGTTTTTCACAATTCCAAATGTAGCTTTATACTGAGGTTTGTTCCTGCTTGTATTGAATGTGTGTGCATGATTGGTGTGTGTGGACTTTATATCATGAAACCATGAAATAAAATGGTATAATAAAAAAAAATACTTCTCAGCCATGTTATTCGCTTGAGTTGGTGTGAAAGTAATGATCTTGACTGACGTTGATTGTAACAAGTGAATGTTCTTTACCTAAAACAGATTATTTTAGAGTTTGCATTAAGGTTAATTGTATATTTATTCTTTAAATATACAGTTAATAGAAAAAAACCCACACTTGTGGCAGAGTATCAATGAGGTCTAAGAATACTGCATCATCAATGTGAAAATAGCAGAAAAAAAGCACAGATAAATACAGTACTCCCCCTTGGTATAGGTGTGGCCATGGCCACTCTAAGCCAGGGGTCCCCAACCTTTTTTGCCCCACGGACCGGTTTATGTCAGACAATATTTTCAGGGACCGGCATTTAAGGTGTGGCGGAAATAATACAACAAAATAATATGGTATGAGCTGCATGAAAACTGTGGTGTTTTCGAAATATAATAATAAACACAAGGGGCGTCTAATCTGGCCGCAACACTCTGATCGCTCTGGTAATGTTTAATGCCTTCAAAATACGATACAATGCAAATTCAAAGTGCATGAAAATGACAACTCACCACAGCCCCGAGCTTGATTTTCTGCAACCAGACGGTCCCATCTCGGGGTAATAGGAGACAATGACACCTCAAGTGTGTGTTTTACGTCAAGTCTACTTCGTAATTTTGTTTTAGTCGCCGTTGCTGCAGAAAAGCCCCGCCTCACACAGGTAGGATGTCGGAAATAGCAACAGTGCTACTGTGGCGATCTCAGAATATTCAGCCATAACTTTAATCCAGTTGTCTCGAACGTACTTTTAAGGCCGCCGTCATTTGATCCCCAGCAGTTTTTTTACTCATTTTGCGAGCTCTGGTGTTTTGTTTTTTAGCGGAATCGGTCACGTGACCGAGAAGCGTGGCTTGACGTGTGTCAAGCGTGACACAGACGGATGTAACGGAGAATGCTCTAATCCACCCTGTAGCTCCGCCCCTGCACAAAGATGATGCGTTCAACCAATCTCAGTCAATACCTCTCTCTCTCTCTCTCTCTCTCTCTCTCTCTCTCTCTCTCTCTCTCTCTTTCTCTCAGTACTGTTACCCGTTGAAAAAAAAGTAACGAGCAAATTTCGACAAAGAAAGGATAAACACTATATATACGGGTTTACAAATGTAGTGAGTAAAAGTAAGAAATCGTCAGAATTGGCCGGATACATGATGGAAATCTACGGTAACTAAGTATTCCAATATCCTGTGAAAAATGTTATCAAAATTAAGGTTTCCTTCCAAGTGCAATTTGTTGGCCTTCCCTTTCATACAAATGAGAAAATGTGTGGAGGAAATTGAGATTAACCTCCAAATTGAATGCTGACGGAATAAGGTCATCGCAGGTGTATGTGTGCGTGCGCATGTGTACCGCGAGCACGTATGTGCGCGCGCACGCGCTGGCCAGCGGATTCCTCCCATCACAACCAAAATGGCGACTGAGCGGACAGCCGGCCCGGCTCGCCGCGATGACTGACAGGCGAGCGAAAACGTTTCGCTTGGCCGGACTCTACATAGTCACATTCTGGGACGACTGACCATACGCACGAAACGATGGCTACTACATAAGTGCAGTGGCACCGGTAGATGACACACGACGAAGCAGCGCCCGAAGGACTAAAAATAACGTTTTCAACTGGGGTAAGTAGGGAATGATGAACCTAGTAGTGCAGCTGCTGCCTGTTTTCTTGAACAGAATTCCTCTGAAGCGAACCAGCGAGCCCTCGCTCTCGCTCTCGCCATCTGTCACTGCTCGAGACTGAATTTTGTCCTCCTAGCAGAGGATGTAACGTGTGCTCTCCTCGCTATCTTACTACAGTGTGTGCCACAGGTTGTTGTAACACACGCCACTTGAATTGTTGAATGCTTAAATCACCTGGACCGATGCAGCGATGAATTCAAGTCACGTTGTAGTCAATCCAAATGGCTCCATCGTTGAAACGTGTTAACTGTTTTAACCCCCCAGCATATTGTGGTGTAGTGCTATAAATACATCAAAACACCGTGGAAACCCAGTTGCTTCGGGTTATTTTAGGGTGATGATGTTAGAAATCCGTCTCTTGTTCTAATGCAGTAAGAATCAATGAGCAAGCTGCTTCTGAGTCCTGTGCAGTAACTTAAAGGCTGCCGAAATGTTAAAATGCATTCCCCCCATCATATTTTACACATTGTTCATATACATAGACGTGTCTAATGCACACTGCTTTGATGATGCATGAATCAAACGAGGCTTTGAACAGGTTGTTGAGTACTGTAGTTTTGTAACTCGGAGAGGCAAGGTTTCTTATTTATCTGGGATACTTCTACTCCTGTCAGTGTATACCTGAGCAAGACACTGAACCAAAAGTTGCCCTGGATGGGCTGTTATCAATGTGTGAAACAAATGTTCAATTTGCTTTTGCAAAGAATATGACAGGTGCGAAGTACTCATCCAGAATGACAAACGGCACTTTGCAACCTGTATGTTGCCAAATTATTCGGTTTCGTTGAAACTTATCTTGTGAGGTTACCTTTTTACTCCTGTTCACCTATGAGATTACAGTGTTTTTATGTTTGAAATGTTATCTCTGTCAGATCTATTATCGTGTCTGAAAATAATCTAAACCATATTACAGCTCATAATGCTCCAGTTAGTGAAGAAAGTCAAAGGATCAATTTTTTTTCAATTAAGTTTAATATCACTTTGTAGTATTTGGATCGGTATCCAGCAGCTCAAGAACTCAGATTCACCATTTGGCAATAAGCTTAAACACGCCGGCCGCTCTTGAGTATTTGACACCTTTTTAAGAACCTATTGTTATTACGGTACCCATATTATTGTTCTTACTAATGGCACTTACCCACTAACAAATGCCAATCTAAAAATGTTAAGAAGCAGCTGTCCTACAATTCACTATGTATGCGTATTCATCTTTCTGTACAGCAGTTATGATTTAACCATTTAATCTCAGGAACAATGATGAGTGTGCTTGTTCATATAATCTAAATTGGCATCATCGCATTTGGACATGCCACATTACCTTAAAGCCCCCCCCCCCCCCCCAAACACACACCCCACCCCCCCACCACACCACCC